TAAAAAGAAAAATTTTTACGAATTCTTAATTCAAAATAATTTGCTAATTTTCGTAATTTTTTCATATTTTGTCAATTTTTGAACTTTAAATGCCTATAAAAAAAAAACTTCGACTATGGATTTTTAATTTTTTTTTCTGCTTTTGAAACAATATATGCAGGAGCATTCTATTTAATTTTAAAGCTATTTTAAAAAACAAAAAAAATGTTATTGATATTGATATTTATATGGAAAAAAAACGAAAAAAAAATGGAAACTGAAAATGTCCGTAAACAGCTCAAAGTAAGTCAAAATATTGGGAAAATGTTATGATGTATAGGAAATGCTAATATAAATATTCAGTCAATTTCATATACCTATGGCCATTTGTTTAAGAGTTGCACCAAAAACCAAAATCGATTTTTTCGAAAAACGGAATTTGCGTACAAATTCTCTTTTTTCCTGAATTTTTCTGTTGTTTTTCACCGCACTTTTGAAAACTACTGGAAAAACTTTTGACCCCCCAAAGTACCAACTAAATTCACTATCCAATCAGAAAATATACTGTTGAAGAAGGTCTAAGCATTTTTACTGTCCTAAAAGGTGATGACAGGCACAAAAAAAAATAACAAACTAAATAAAAATTAAAAAAAACACACATTATTGTAAAATCTAGTTTCACTCAGAATCTAAAATAGATAAATAAACCTGTCATTGTCATTTCACATTTGCCAGTGCGGTTATCAATGAATTGTTGTATTAAAATTTAAACATTTTTTTTTATTATTATATTTAAATATATCTACAAGCTATATAATTTGTTATGTACAATAAGTAGGTTTGATAATTGACGGTAAAAATAGGTTGACATGAATCATAAGATTAGGGGGATACCGAAATTAAAAATTAAATTAAAAATCCAGTCACAATTTTTTTTTATATGAATATAAAGTTCAAATATTGACAAAATACGTAAAAATGACGAAAATTTGCAAATTATTTTGAGTAAGAAATTCATACAAAATTTTCTTTTAAAATCTAAGATGATTTGAAAATGTAATACAAGATTCCTCATGAGCTTGTCTACATTTATCAAAAAAAAAAATGTCTACAAAAAAGTCAAATTAAATTTTTATGTGCGTTTGAAATTCATATTATTACATCATTTGATAATCACTCGATTTCTAATGTAACGATTTTCTTGTTTTATTGTAATTCAAAAACGAATATCTGTAGATACATGAAAAATTCACTGGATGTTTATATTAGCATTTCCTATACACCATATAATTTTGAAAATATTTAGACACTTTTTGAGCTGTTTACGGACATTTACAGTTTTAAATTTTTTAAATTTTTTTTTCTATAAATACCAATAACATTTTATCTGTTGGGCCAAAAAGTGTAAAAATTTAATGCAAGGCTCCTGATATATTGTTACAATATCAGTTGAAAAATATTAAAAATACATATCCACAATTTTTTTTTATAAGCATTTAAAGATCGAATTTTGACAAAATTTATCAAATTTAAAATTGAATAATAATTTTTTCTTCTTCTTCTTCTTCTTCTTCTTCTTCAGTTTAGCGGTCCATTCAGGACCATCGCTGCCATCAAAATCTCTCTCCGCCTCTCTCTCTGATATGCTGTTTCTAAAGTTGCGTCCTGGTCTATCATTACTATATCTTTGGCAACTACGTCAATCCATCGGGTTTTGGGTCGTCCTAGGGGTCACGTTTTATTTATTTTATTGATAAGTACATTTTTAATTAACTCTCTATCTGCCCTCCATGCATGTCCGAACCATTCTAGTCGTTTTTTCCTGATAAAATAGAGTATGTCTGGTTTATTATACAAATTATTCATATTAATTATTTTATTTTTTAGTTAAAGATTTATAAAATGTTTTTATTTGAAAATGTTACTGATTTATACAATTATTAATTACCGTCCCGGTATTCCATCGCATTTGCAAGGTCATTACCGTTATCTCACAGTCAGATGCGAGTTACACAACGATCGAATAATAGCAATCCAATTAAAAATAAGCCCGCCCGTCCGTCTGTTTAATAAAGTGCAACACGATTGCGCGCGGTACTCATCAGCGGTACCTTTTTAGGAGTACGATTGTGAACGCTAAATTATTTTAACTTCTAAGCAACGTTGCCAAATATACAGAAATAAAACTATAACGACAGAAAATGTACTTAAGTTTTTAGCCCTAGTTGGAAATCGGTATAGGGGCTTTAAAATTTAACTTAAAAATATTAAATGTAATTTGTCAACTTTTTTCAATTATTTATTTAACTAGGTATTCAAATATTTAACCATTTTTAATGAATATTTTTTTTTATAACTATAATTATTTACTTTTATGACGTAGACTGCGTACATTTAACGGTATTTATTTTTATAATAATAAGAATTTAAGTAAATGTATTAAAAACCTTCCTGAACGGATGAATTTGTATCTGTATTCAAATATAAAAATTAATGACGAAATAACTGAAATTTGTTACAAACAATTTGGCAAGGTTACATTCAATGTCACGCGCAATCATAAGTTTTTGAAGAATCAAAATCATGTTCTTTGTTATTCTAGAACTGCGCGCAGTATCGTATCCCTAAAAATGTAAAACGCTTGCGATCGTACTAAACCGGTTTTATAGGTGGGGAACATTGGTGCGCCGCCGTAAGGGATGTAATAATAATACAATATCGTTGTTTAGAGCGGGTGCGCGGCGCAAGTGCGCGACAGTCTGATGTGTGGGGTGTGGGTATCAGCGAAGGCAGATGCGGTTTGAACAATTACATCTTACAGCTGCACATAAATTTAAACCACCCACCTGCTCTAAAAAATCTTCGCCGCGAAGGGGGATGTTTGCCACGGTATTGTGGCATGGTAGGATACATTAACCATACCAGTGCGTTTATTTTTCTGTACCGGTTTCGAACATTTAATTTCATGACCAAAAATCCGACGCCACCACAGTTCTTCGATGCAACGACATTAATATTATTATGGCAGGGGGACGGGAGAGGGAGCGAACGCACAGCGTCGGCGTCGCTCAATTACCGGGAATCGGAGGGGGCGTCGTCGTAGTGGTGTTCAAAGAAATAATATATTAGGCTGTAGCCATTTTCCTCCAAAAATGAAGGGGAAAGGAAGGGGTAGGCTTAACAAGCTCAAACTCTATCATAATTATTGTTTTAATACATAGAACCCAATTTGAGGCACTCTTCGTCAAATTTCCAAAAAAAATTTACCTCTTTAGTTGTGAGGACCAACCTACCCCTAACATACATATTATATAATATCATCGTAATTTTGTACGGTAAACGATAAAATTCGTATACCACAAGTGCGATTGGATATACATGTGGAACCATCTTGCAGATAATTTTGTGCTCTACAATTTTTGTAAGACAATTTTTTTTGTACAACCAGTACAAAGCGAGATATCAATGCAATTGTTATAAGCCAGGTAGGCTTACAACGAGTTTTTGTAGAAAGTGAAGGTAACTCAAAAATAAATAACAATTAGTTAATTAATTAAGTATATTTTAAAATAAACACACACACATATCGACAATGATAAGGTACGAGTCATACGCTTGTTGTAAGACTGTTCGATCTACTGCTCTTTACAATACACTTATATATCCGAATTCATATAATAATTAAACAGTTTATATTCGCATTACATAATTGTGTTACTTTCCTTATGACTATAATGTTTTGTACAATTTCTCAACCATTCGTATACCCCTGATATCTGTTCATTGAATATAAAGTATTGATTAGTACTACGTGTTAATAATATTACAACTACGTAGGTGGTCTTCTACACAATGGCCACTGGATTTTAGCAAAAAATTCATGTTTCATTAAAAGCGTACATTTCGATGGCCTTATAACTCAAAAACTATGACTTTTACTTGAAAATGTCACGAGACCTTTTTTGTAGATGATTACGTCTCCTACAATTTACGACTAGAACTTTTCGTTGTACGACTCGTGAAAAGCGAGATATTCAAAAAAAGCCAATTTCGTGACCTTCGACCTCGAATAACCTTTGACGCGTACCGAAATTCAGCCGGGTGGAAATTTTTCCGAGCCGAAAACTTATAATACGACTCGACCGCTGAGATATCGGGGGAAAGTATAGACGTGGTTCGGTCTAAATTGACGTGGAGGGAAACTGACTTCTTTTTTCTCGACAGCGGACAGTGGAGGAAAACGGGGCACCTCGTTTGGGAGGAAAATGGAAAATTACTATCGTTCCCGCGTTGGTCACCGTTTGGAAAAAATTTCGAACCATGCGAGTTCGGCCCGTGTCGGTAGCCTCTATCGAGGTACCGGCCAGTGGGGCCGCCGCCTAGTGATTTTTACGCGCGTACGGGCGACGGGCTGGCACCGTCGGATTCTGCCACACCGGCGGCGCGAGCCCGCCGGTCGGGAAGTGGGTACGGGTCGCGGGAAGTACCTCGCTTAGAGGCTATCCAGCCGGCGCGCCGAGCAGCGCGTCCGCGTCACACACACAACTGCACAACAACGCGCGCACACACCAGCAAACTCGCGCACGCTCAAGCAAACTCGCACGCACGCGAACGGGCGCGCTGTAAGACGTCGTCTTGTTGGCGAGCTCCGCGACCCGCTTCCCCCTCCGCCGAAACGTCACCCCGGCAACGAGCCGGCGCGGCGGACGCCGTTCGTAATATTCACCCACGTCACTCGCCCGACGCCCGTCGACATTGCCGCCCGTAGCTCGTTGTCCGACGCGTTCCCATCGTTGTACGGTTTCTCGAATTTTCCACACCACACAGCACTGCGTGACCCGTTCGGTGTAGTTCGTTGAATCGTTATTATTAACATAACATTATAATTATTTATATTCATACAGTTGTCGCCAGTTTTTTTCTGCTCTTTTCAATTGCCATTACCGAGGCTTTATATTATTTTTGACAAAACACTCGATTTACCGCCCCCTCGCTTCCACCACTCGACGAACACTACAAAGATGGCTTCTAAAAGGCGCGCTTCAGCAAACAAAGGTAACTATATTAAATCGATGATTATAACAATACATGTAACGTAACGTAATTTGGTTTTAACTTTTTTTTTATCGTGTTAGACAAGATTGTTGTAGGCTATACCGTACGGGTGGGAATTATCATTCCTCTTGTGGAATCGTTCCAATCGGTACGCAGTTAAAATAGATTTCCAAAATACTCGTTACGTCTGTACAATCGGCACGTCGTTCTTTAATTAGTTACACTTGTACTCGCATCTGTATTGTTCCGCACGGAATGCCATCAGTTTATCACAGAACAAAACTAGATAATATAGATATTATCTATGAACAAAACAATGGTTGTCATCTTTTTTAATTTTTATATTTGAACATAACCTAACAAAATCGCCACTTGCAGGAGTGAGAAACTGCCTTCTCTCTCATACTCACGGCCATATAGACAGGTCTGGCAACTCGACGATTTTCGTGTGCCGTTATTGTATACGGGATCGGGGGAATGATATGTGGCGCTATCTACTTACAAATTAATGACATACTATTTAGTATAGAACTCTATACTATGAATGTAGATAGCGCCACTTAGCATTCCCCAGTGATCGCCTATACACGGCCATATATTAATAGTAGTACGATTATACATATTATATTATTATTATAATAATATAATACCAATTGTATTTCATTTTTATAAAACTTTATTAATTGTATGTTGCCTGTGTTACCTACTGAAATTGAATTAGACGTCTTACAATGTCTGTTGACAAAAAGTGTTTTCACACAAAACAGTTTTGCCGGGAACTAATGTTTCTTGAGTACCAAAAACCTCTTGCCATTTTTGTGCTCTAACATTATTGATCGGCTCTCTAAAAAGTGTTAAATCATTTTTTTCTCTACATATTGAGCATACTCTGGGCATTGTGAATTTATTATGTTCAACAACTAGAAAGTAGTAGAAACTAAAGACTAGTACTAGTATGTCTGTATATTATCAATTAATTTTACCATAAATTAGATAGGTGCACAAATGTATATGAGTGTTTCGCCATCTATACCACCAAAATAGTAAATTTGTAATACTTAGAATGCTATACTATGAATGTAGATATAGCCACATAGCATTCCCCCGATATGCCGTATACAATAACGGCACACTCCGACCACGTACAAACACTGTCGAGTTGCCAGACCTATCTATATGGCCGTGCTCATACTTATAAGACCGCGACCACTTGCGTTGTATGATTTAACATGGCCTATCCATTCTTCTATTATCTATGACTATACTGTCCTCGGTTTACTTATCTCACAGACTTCTATACTACACTAGATAAGGAACTCTTATACAATTTACATTGTTACAAGTGAAGCTCAGCTGTGAACGGCCGCCATTTTGTCGGTTGGCAAAACATTTCATTTATTATACAAAATGTATTAGGAATAATATTTTTTTTAACGGTCAAATAAAATAGTAAATGTAAAATGACTTATATAAATATTTTTTTTTTTTGTAACCTAAATGTTTAGAAATGATAAAATACGATATAAAATAAATCATAATATCATCTCATTTGTCATATGAAATACCATACAATTAATACTGGAAGTATAAATTGAACGAAACCTCTTTGATGGTAATAATTGTATTTATTTTGTGTAAAACAGTTATTATGGAAAATATTCTAAGTCCAATTAATGACTTAAGCGAGATGTGACTAGTGAGTAATTAGTGACTGTTCAAGTTGAGGCTGGTTGATCGTCTGATGAACGCTTGTCCATCAGCTCTCCTCGATGGATCTCTGTCCCTTCCATAATTTCTAAGACCATACATGGTCCTGCGGTTAAGCTTATCGTGATTCACACGCTTGCACGCGCCGGAAGTCCACATATATCTATATCGCACATTTGTGGTGTTATTTAAATAACAGCACAAATCTAAACTATATTATTTTTTAGAATTATTCATATATCTATTGTCGCACGCCGCTCATGGTCACCCACTCGATATTACTATTATTGATATTATAATTATTACTATTCGAGGAAGCGCTCGAGTATAATATATTTATATTTACGCGGTGCGAATATTATATGATTACGTATACATTATAATGTGTTTAAGCCATATGGCAAGATAGTCATAGCTCGCTAAATTATTATTATTTGTTGCCAAGACGATTATTATCGATCGTGGTCTATAACGAGAACGGCACCGTTCTGATGAATTAGTTATCGTTTTAACTGGTTAAACAAATTTGATTTAGGTAAGTTTATTGTATTTGTGTATAAATCCATAAAATATATGACATTATACCTATGATCAATTTAATTTATAAAACCAAATCAAAGTTTTTAAAACATTAATAATGAGCACAACGATTCATATTATGTTTATAGTTTATTACGTTCTTTTAACGCGGCGTTAAATCCTCTTTTTTTTTTTTGTTTATATTAAGCACTATTTTTGTGAAGACCAAAAGTAGTTATAATAATTAACAACTGTTACATAATATATGATTTCCAAATTCCAGGTTAAGGTCTGATATTGTACATTTGTACGTACGATCGATTTTAATTGTCATATTATTATTATTTGTTGCCAAGACGATTATTATCGATCGTGGTCTATAACGAGAACGCATCTCCGGGATTTCCCGACATTATAAACGATTGAAAAACGAGATCTTATAAAATATAACGATATAAAATAATTGCCCCTCGTGAGTTTTTCAAGATTTCCGTCGTCCTTACCGATGTATCGTTCGACACTCGTAGCGGCGGCGGCGGTCAGCGTTGTGTGTGTGCGTGTGTAATCGTCGCCGGTCGCTTGTACCGAGTTTTACGTACACGACGTCGATACCTACCATTCAGCAACGTGAAAAGTGCTCTAATCGAAACTCGTCCAGAGATTCCCCTTAGGAATCCTGTTTCCGCGCAAACAAATATCGTTCTCAATCTATCGACCGATTTTTTTTGTTTTTAATCGAAACAATTTCGTAAATCATTAGGCACTTTATCCGGCGCCCGCTCCAATAAAACACTTTCAAATGTTATCTTGGGTAAAATTACACGGCACAGTTCTGACGAACGTGGCTCAATTTTTTTTGCACGGAACTTGGGTGCATTGTATTTATTTCGCGTATTTCAATAATATTATCGTTATTTGTGCGTTTTTCTATTGGTACCTACTATAGCGTTTTTATTATGAGATCGTGTAAGTAGAGATTTAATGGTGCCCTTTTCACAATTCATTATGAATTACTACCTATTTATCTGTTTTATATTTTTTTCCCGATAATTGAAAGTTAGGGGACATTCTTCACTTTCGACCCAAATATTTTTATTAAAAAAAAAAACGTTATCGTAAAAAATTTTATGCATTGCTTCGCCAAGAATCTGAAACTATGTTTGTGAAGACTTGGACGTTTTACTAGATTTTGATGTTATGTTCATCCGATTATTATGCACACCAAATAAACTATAATTGTGGTTTTCTACTTTTAAATTTGTTTTAATTTGTTACATCATTGTATCAATTAAAGATATAAATCCATAGGTATTGTGTTTTATACATATAATTATATAATAATATCTGAGTTTGTACTGATATACTTTGGTGGTAATCCTTATCTAAATCCGATGTTTATCTTGTAACTGTACACATTGAATCTTCATCTGTAAAATGTAAATAAGTACAAAAAACAATACACTTCGGCTATAGTATAAATAAAGGGTTAAGTGGTTAATAATAAATATCAAGCAAGTATCTATATTTTTATTTTTGTTTGATATTGTAACAATAAACATAATTGTATACTTAAGGTAGGTACCTACATAATATTATATTAGTTATTGCATTATGTATACAAATATTACTCAATGTTTTTAAAAAATTTTTTTTTCAACTAGTTAGGTATATTACATATATATAGGTATTACATTTATTTTTATAGTAGGTTTCTAAAATAAGCGTTAAAAAAACAGTAATGTAAACCTACGTGTAAGTTACACACTCTGTTATACATTTTATCTAGTTTTTATTTGAGAGTGTGAAGTAATATGCAAAAAACAAATAATTCCCATTAGCTTTAAACTATTAGAATTCATAAGATAACAAACAAAAATCCAAAAAATGTAAAAAGGAAAAAAATTGCAATTTCATATAAGCCGCGCTCTAGTTATAACTTATATAATCTCAAAACAAATAGTTAAAATATAAATATTAAGGGGATTGGTGGCGATCAGTTATTTTAGCCAAAAGATACCAGTCTTTTGTCAATCGTACTGATCGACCTAGAAATGCGATAATACTTTTTAAAACTGATTTGAATTTGTGATTATGTCTACTTGAGATCGGTCAGTCCACTTTTCCAAATTTTACCCCCCGACACCTATAAATATGGTTTGAATATTTTAAATTTTAGGAATTTTCAAACGTTAATTTTTCGGAATTAAAATCAAAAATCTTAAAATGTGGACTGACCGATCTCAAGTCGACATCATAACGAATTCAGATTAGTTTTCTGAAATATTATCGCATTATTAGATCAATCTGTAGGATTGACATAAGGTACATAGTTTTAATCAAATAAAACACACGTTCTGGATTGTTCACGCGCGCGACAACGCGGTGGTGACTTGTGCCCGCGCGTGCCGCGTGCGTAGGTGATTCTTCGAAACCATCGGTTATCCTTATCGCATGCCACGGTAAACATGGTACGGTGCGGGGACACGTACACACACTAATAATCATTTACTACACACACAGTCTCAAGTCACACACGCACGCACTATAAATATTGCCTATACTGAACTCCTTAAATATACTCCGCCACCGATCCCCTTAAATATGTAGGTATAGTCTGTTATCAATTTTTTATGAGTTACTAAAATATAAGATACATAACGGTTTTTTTTTTGACTTGGCTAGTGAAAGCAACTTGAGACAAGGTAGTCCATAAGACTAAACTAATATTCTTTTGATTATCAAATTTTTTTTTAACTTCATCACAGCTTTATCGCAATCATAAAGTAAATAATATAGTTTTTAGCTTGCCCATTATTTTCTTTTACTTTCCCTTTGAGTGTCCTAAATTGCAGGTAATAATGATTCTGGCATTCTATTTTACCATCCTATCATAGTTTATATTATAAATTATCAGGATTCTATGTACATGTTATTATAAATATAAATACTGGAATATTTAATATTTACTCCTATTGATAAATGATCACTATGATTACGAGATCTAATAATATTATTCATGTACATGTATAAGAATTTTGGTCACTTTGTAACATAAATTCATTATGATAATTTCTAAATAATATTTGGACATGATATTATTTATTGGTTTTTAGTAGGCATGGATTTCAGCAAAAGTATATTATAAAAAAAAAAAAGAAAAAATGTTCTTGTTATTTTAATTATTCAAAATGTTAACATTTAAAGTCCATAAAATATTTTCGATAAATATTTTTTTTTATTGTTCATAATACCTACTTATAATTCAATTACCTATACTAAAACATAATTTTATAACTAAATTACAGGGATGAGAGTAAAAAATGAACACGATGATGCTGAAATAAATGCTATGGCTCTCAAATTGAAAGAAAATTATCAAAAAACTGCAACAGGTGCAGCAAAGCAACAGGCTGCTCCTCCGGCAAATGTTAATATAAAGAGAACCGCTAGAGCAGTAGCATTGGCTAATGCACCAATTACAACGGATAACAGTCAAACAAATCAAAACAAATTACGTAAAGATTGTGAAACTATAGAAAGTATTAAAGGTAAGCTATCAGGGGTTAAATTCGTGTTTTGAAACTTTCTAAGATTATATTTTATGTTATTTTATGCAATATAGGTAGATTTTCATGGACATTAATTGAAGGACACCATGTACCCTACATCTTTAGAGTAATCAATGGTGAACAGTTAAAGTTTGTATCTGTACGTATGGCAGAACAACAGCTACTCAGCAACTATTTACGTTATTTACATGCAGATATTTATAAATGCACATATGTAAAAAGCCATTTTATCACTGAATCTGAAGCTAGAGTATTGAATGATATCAACCAAATGCATTCCAACGGTGATTACGGGAAAGAAGTGTTTTTTGCTGGAAAAGATTATATTGTGGATTTAGCAGATCTTCTTGAATTTTATGCGTTCATAGAAATATGTCATAAAAAATTACTGTGCAATATTACTCCAGGCCTCGATGAGAAATGTGGTTTTATTCGCATTAACTCTGATTCTGTTGTGCCATATTGTATTAAAGATAACCAAAAATATGTCCCTCTCTTCTACTTTGAAGGCGAAACAGATAACCTAAGACAACGAGCTGTACAATTCGAAACTTGGAACTTAGCCTACCTCAAGTTTTGTTGTAAGGTTCAGGGTATCAGAGATGAGTTGTTTGCCAGTGAATCATGCAAAGTAACCACTCTTGATGAAATTAAAAAATATTTTCCACCGGCAACTTATTTTGAGGAATATTGGCCAGCTAAGGTGGTTGATACAAACCTCCTAATTAATCAGAAGTCTAACCATGTAAATCCATCTGGTGTCTGGATTAGAGCACCTCCTGCAGTAGCACCTGCTGAAAATACTATTGCTCACACTGTAACGGCATCAGCAACATTACCTCCGAATATGCCAGCTATGATGAACACATATCAAAACGGATGGCCAGCAAACCAAATGGTATGAATTATGTTATATATATATTAAATTGCTTTTTTTATTGTTGCTTGTGTTTTCACAATGTATTCAAATGTAATATTTATTTTATGCTTATAATTATTTTTAGTATTAACTATTAAATATTAATAAATAATTATCTATAAGCAAAAAGGTCTATCAACCAATAGTTATATATTTTGTACCTAACAAAATTATATAAATATGGGAAATATGGTTTAAAGAAGCGGTTCTTAACCTTTTGTAGATCGCGGACCCCTGATGAAAGATTTTTAGAAATCGCGGACCCCCTTACCATTTTTTTTACAAAACATCTCATGTTATCATAACCAAAATTATAATAATTATTTTATATTAAAAATTACATTAGTAGACAACAAAACATACACATTTCCAATTATTTTTATTTCAATTAATTTTTTATAAAAATGTAATATAAAACTATAATTGAATACGATACTACGATCGATCAACCGCAATTATAGCGGTAGTAAATATAAGACTGCCGAGACTACAGTGCTGTACGCATGTACATTTCGTATGAACAAGAAAAACTGATTACCTACTTAATAAATGCTAATAATACAATTATTTGGTTTAGAATCTACATATTATATAGGTATGAAAAAAATAATAATCAATAATATTGTAATAATGCACCCTGTCACTTGTTGATGTATGTTATGTGTTGAGGCTGCTGCGGACCCCCGACATGAGTATCGCGGACCCCCAAGGGGCCCCGGACCACAGGTTAAGAACCGCTGGTTTAAATGCTTTCTAGATTTTACTTTCAATTTTGCTTTCATTTAATTATTATAATGGTATGCATTATATTATAAATGATATGAATATATATATTAAATTGCTTTTTTATTTTTGGTTCTTTACATAAATAAATTGTTGCTTGTATTTTCAAAATGTATTCAAATGTATAATTTATTTTATCCTTATAATTATCATTATCAATTATGCATATCATAATCATTTGTTTTATTTAATTATACTGCATAGTGGTGTCGTGCATGCTTTTCAATAAAAAAATTTGTTCTCTACAATCAGTTTGTATTCTCAATAAATAAATAATATTTTTGCAGGTTAATTCATATAGCACTCATGCTCAGCCGCCATCGACTCGCGGCTATTCTATTGCAGCCAGAAATAAAAGCATAGCTGCCCAGTCCTATAATGCGGTACTTATTTTTCAACTTTATTAATTTTTTTTCTCCGCTTATTCCTAACCCCTTATATAGAAATACTCAACCAATTATATGTAGTTCAAAGCTCACGCTCTAACTGTTTTGTATTTTATAATTTTGTCTTCATTAAAGAAATAACATTCTTGTATTTTTATTTAACACAAAATATATTTTTTATAGACTAATGGATTAATTATTGTCATTCCTCAGTTGGTAATGCAAACAATTAACGTTTTTTTCTTACACGTTTTTGTTGACTAAAAGTAATGTTGAAATAATAATTATAAAATAAAGTTTATAGCTTTTCTTTTCTTTGAAATTGTTTTAAAATGACGACTCCTGTTAATATGTTGGATCATTTTATAATTTAATAAAAGTATTGACTACAAGTTTTGCATGTGTGATATAATAATGAATTGTTTGAATTAAATAGTGGGTATTAATATTAAATTGTGGGCTACCTATGTAATATATATTAGTAAATTAACAATTTTTTATATTTAGTTTTTATTGGATTTTCAGGGTTCAACGATGTCTCAAGGCAGCAGTTTGGTATACAGTGGGGGTAATGTTGTACCACCACCGCATTTAGTCCTTGCAGGCAATATGACGCCAATAATTAGGTAAGTGTTATCAAAATAATACCAATAATCAAATTTGTAAATATCTAAAAACCAAAAAAAAATTATTTATGCTTATAGTCATACCGTATCATACTCCAACGCTGTACCTATTAGCCAATGCATAACGACTATGTACAATACAATGACAAATGGTAATGTAATGTCACATTCCAGTCAAATGAGACAATTCTACACTCAACATTCTAACAATAGTCAAGCCCAACAACAACAATTGCAGCAACAACAGCAGATACAACAGCAACAACAAATAATTACTACTCCTCAAACTCAGCAGTCAAATAGTGGCAAATCTGTGCATGGTCGTTTAACCAACACACAACAACGCAACGCAATAAAGAATGCTGGGCCTGTTGCAAATGCTCCACCCATTGAAATCATTGACTTATTGTCCCCACCGTCCAGCCCTGTTCCTCCAGCTGTGCAGGAGAATTCCTTTCGTCCTAATTTTGCATTGGAAATTAGGAGAATACCGGAACGGGTGTGGGAACCTGACACAGCTAATAATGTTGCATACAAGGTTAATGATATTTAATATTTTAAGGTTGACTGAATTTATTGGGGCCTAGAATAAAATTATTATTATTTTTCATACCTCTATAAGATATAAAATCTTGATAACTCTATACCTTTTTTTTAAACAAATATATATTTGTTTACAAAAATAGCATGTGCATCAATTCAGCCAATTTTGTATCACATAGATAAGTTTATAATGTTCATTAATAAACATAAGATAGGTACTATGTGTTAATCTTTAAATTAATAATATTTAAATTTTATTGACGGTTTTACACAAATGTTTTGTATTTAAATGTAACTTTCCATATTAATAGATATTAGTTTCTCTAGACTGATTATTTCAATTTGTGTAGTTTTTCTGTAAACTAAATGTGTGTGCAGTATTTAAAATTGGTAATAAAGTTATTTTTTCTTTAACTTAATATTTGTGGAATATTTTTTAACTTCTTACAATTGTTTCAACATTTATTATTTGATCAATTGCGACATAGCAATAAGCAACAGGCCTGCATGTTATTAAATTAAATTCAGAGTATAGTATTAAAACAAAAAATTACTATTTTGATTAATTTGCTATAATATAGAATACCGAAAATTTGTTTTTAAAATTATTATAATACGTCCGTCAGTTTGTATTTAAAAAATAAATAATATACATATATATATAACACAGGTCCAACAGGCACCACTTGAAGGGAGAATGATCACTTGCATAAACTCAAAACCATACATCTATTCGGATCTGTTGGTGACATTAAGCGATTTAGTCCAGTTATTGTTGCCTTCGTGCACAGTCGATAGATGCGCTTTCATCATATACAAATACTTTAACGCGACACTATTCACTGGAAATTCGTAAGTGTCTGCAGCTCCTCCTTTTAATAATCATTGTCCCTCCTACTACTCATCCAACAGTGTTCGGAAGAGGTTAATACATTTCACCCGTCGTTTGTTTGACAGCGAGCAGTTGGCCCTTTTGGGGGAAACTGGAAGCCTCAGGCCGATGTACCCGTCTACAACACCCATGGCCATGCTACTGGATGTCGTGCAGATTTTTCCGCTATTAAAGGCACATGTGTTAAAGCAAGACGAACGAAGAAAACGATACCACAGTGGTCCGGCCAAAAGACAACGTCCCAGCTAGGAATGGGCCACCGGGCACGGTGGAAGCCGACCCGACTGGCAAAATCTGGTGGCGGGCAGCACCTGCATCAGCAGCAGCAATAGCGGTGGTGCCACTTCCACCCCCGCCGCCACCACCAGTTGGTACTCACCGACCGTGGCCGACAGCAACGATTGGCTTCACGCCGGTGCTGGTCCGTCCCAATCGCCGTACCCACATCACCCACCGCACCAGCTGATGCAAAATAGCTACCAGAACCGGAGCAACTGCCCTCCGCTCCTGCCCTACATGTATAAGAACTACTAACGTAACTAAGCAACATAGGCAATCACTGATCTGTGTGTCTATGGAATGTGCACGGGTCGTCGTTCCCCGCCATCTCTTATCGTTTTTTGTAAGTACACGTTATTCGCGTTTTCTTTCGTTATTGTCTGTGATACATTTCAGCGATTATCATTATTTATTATTAACTGAATTCCTGGCCAATTAAGATAATGTTTTGACTAGATCGACGACGATATACTGATTCTGAATACCATGGATATATAGTAATATATGATATTATGCTTGGGTGGGTGTCTTGTTCCTATAAATAGTATGTGTACAAACAACAATTATATTTATCTACACGATTCCGTGTAGTGTATATTATATTATAATTTTAAATTTACTATTACAATAATATTCTACATTCTATATGTTATGATCATTTTGGATCATTTTCCATTATTTCATATATCTTTGCATTTATTCAATGAATTAAAAATGATATTATACTGAAAAGTAAACACTTGTAAAATAGTTTATTGATGTATTATGATGTATTGTTTATTTGTTTATATTTAGCTTTTGTATTGACCAATAAAAAATTGGAACTTGTATTATTTTAATTAATGTCGTTTTATTTTGTATCAAAAAAAAAAAGGAGAAATCTCCTCGTGTCTTATTACAGTTCGTGTATACGGTAACAGTATACCTGTATACTTACCTAATATACGTAATATCAACATGATAAAAAAAACATAAAATATTATTATATATCATAAAATTAATTCCGGAACACTTTATTCGATCTAACGTTAATAAAATATGCTCAAAACCGTGTGTGTCATTTGCAGTACAAAAGCACGAAAACGACTACATGTATAAAATATAAAGGTAGTTAAAATGTACAGGCATAATAAATTCAAACTATAGTTTATATATTATATATATATATACTATATAGACGCCTGAACGAGAATATTTAATAAAGTAGGTATACATATAGCTGGGGTCACACGTCATTGGACTTTAAATGTAAGTATGTAACGTCTGTCAGGTATCAGACGTGTGTGACGTCAAAGGGACAGTCAATTTGACGGACTTTGAGTGTGTGACTGTCGACTATAATAATTAGTAAATCAGGAAATTCGGTTGTCAGTTAAAATGGCGAAAAGTACTTAAATGATTCTACTCTATATAATATTATTATTAAACTTGCAGCACATCATCTATATACCTATAATATATGAATGGCAAATACCTACCACTCGTTCACTAACTGATCGATACAACTCAAAAACTACAAAACGTACACATTTAGAATAGTGAGAGTTACTCTAATGATCTAGGTTGCACATCAGATTTTCCATCAAGGATTTGATCAAATGGTTGCCATTGGTGTCTTAGTCAGATCAGGTACAAGTATGTATCAAATCGTCGTGTTAACGTGGCCTTGATTAAAGAAAATGTATCTTAAAACCAAATGTAGGTATATGTATTTAGCTTATATACTGAGTTAAGATGAATGATAAAAGCGTATAAATAAAAAGTGGACAAGTGGGTACAGCTTCACTGACTTCATTAATTTAAAAACTGTAATTATGTAGGTAGGTATCTACCAGCTACTTTATAATTAATTAATGAACTTGAAAAAACTTGAACTTGAACTAATTCATTTTTAGAAACAACATTCCCAACACTGTACCTAAATAGGTACCTAAGTAGGCACTCCGTCACTCGAGATGATCACTTATTACCAAAATACATATTTTCGAATACCTACCTAGGTACTTGCAACTTGGTATTTCTTTTTATTTCATATATTAAATATTTATAATAGGTACCTATATTTACACATCAATGTTACTATGCAGTATTCAATGCTGACAATGTAAGGTAATATAAAATCTATTTCAAGTCATCACAATTATATATATGAAATTTAATTTTGAGTATTCGATATAGGTAATTAATTAATTATAAAGTAGCTGGTAGATACCTAGAGTGACGGAGTGCCTACTTAGGTACCTATTTAGGTACAGTGTTGGGAATGTTGTTTCTAAAAATGAATTAGTTCAAGTTCAAGTTCAAGACTTTTAATGTGAACTAGTCAAATTCTGTTATTTCATAGTTTTTAGAATGATCAAAAATTATAAAAAGTTACTAAATAAAATAAAATAAATAAAGATGCTCTGCTGTACGGTGGTTACAAGTGGGTCACTGTTTAATGGATGGTACTAAATTTGAATTCAATGATATAATATCATTGTATAAGAAAAACGATTCTGAGCGGAGACGGTACCTATGTCAGTCTAGGTATAAGGAATATCATTAACTTATCTATGGTATTAAAAAAAATTGACCTATTATAAATAAATTCCAAATTAATCATATCACAATATCCATTAGATAGTTACTTGTAACGCGTTATTCATCAACAATAAGCCCTGATACTATCATAGATATAATATAATAGGGTACTTTAGAAGTTTCAAGTACCCACGAATAATATTATACAATCACAACGAAATAACTAAAATCGTTATTCTAGGTTTTTTTTTATGTAATTTTGTCCAAAGTTGAACTTAAAATGACTGTAAAAATAAACTGTATTTATGTATTTTTTAGATTTTTTGATAACAGAATTAACTACTTACGTGGAATTTTGTTTTAAATTTTCAATCCTTAGATATAAAAATTGAACATTTTATACATTTTGAACTACAAAATAATTATTCAATTTTAAATTTGATAAATTTTGTCAAAATTCGATCTTGTCGATCGATGAATGTCGATGAATGTCGCGGCGTTGTGATTTCAGGGCAAAAATAAATATCCAAACTAAAAATAAACAAAATTAAAAACAAATTGTATCTTTTGATTTTTGAGAAGGAACCTGATCGGGTACAAAACATTTCAAAACGTTATCCTATCGCCTGGTCTATGAAATTTAAATTGTAAATGAACGAACCCAAAACGTTTAAAATCATAATTAATAAGAACTAGTTCAAGTCAAGTTCATATCTTGAAAATCGAACTCGTACATGTCAAGTTCACGCAATATGAACACTTTCTTATGAACGCGTTTTTTCCCAACATTTTTGAACATTTCAGGATATGTGAATATTGAATACTTTACATACCCATAACTCACTTCAAAATTAAAATATCTTAAAAAACCAACTAGAGAACACATACCCATACTGTTCTTACCTAAAAGTTTGATAATAGGTAATTTCACTCTAATATAAAAACTGACAATACCCTTTTGAAACTAGCCAACGAGCATTTGCTATGTCGTATGTGTGTAAGACGGAGACAACACATACGGGTGCGACGTCCCCTTAAGATAATATGACAAGAGAGCAGAGACCGTTATGGAGGTGAAACTATAAGAAAATATTTTGGCCCCGAGTTGGTCCATTCGACCTATAGTAGTATAGTACATTAGTACCTATACTGTAATACTGTGTAGCTACTAACGTCTTGGTACGCAAGTAGGTATAAAATATTATTTGAACTGCGTATCACACTCGACAAGCGGCTGAATGAGGTAGGTAATAAGTAGAGCCCGGATTTATGCAATAAAAAGTATCGAAATATGCAGTAAAAATCATTAAAATATGCAACACACATGCAGTAAAATCATTAAAATATGCAGTAAAAATTATTAATATATGCAACAAAAATGCATTTACGAAATTCAAAGTGATATTAAGTGTATGGAAAAAATATAAAATAATAAAATATAATAAAATGTAATATAATCAGGGTTGGGCAAGATACTCAAAAAAAAGTATCATGATACATGATACATGATACATACATTTTGTGTATCAAGATACAAGATACAAGATACATTGTGAATGTAGAAAAGATACAAGATACAAGATACATGTATCTTTGATACATCAAAGATACATGATACTTTTATATTTCCAATCAAATTTTATTAATTATTAAACGTAAAACGTCTATACACAATTCACTATACCGTCTATACATAATAAATACATAATATTATTATTATACCTACATAATAATAGTATTTATAAATACTTATAAAGTCATAATTATATCAAATAATATAATAAGTCAATAGGTACACTGTACACATTATAATATAATAAGTCAATAGGTACACATTATACATTTATAACTAATACATCACATTTATAATATAAATACACCAAAATTAAGAAAGTGCATAACAATTACATCTTAATTTATACTTATATATAGTTGCTTTATGCTCAATTTTGATTTTATTTTCTATTTTATGTGGAAATACCTAAACGGTTACACTCATATCTAGGCAGCGGATTCATATTTTATGAGACTATTGATTATTGACACGGTCTGCGTGTGGGCTACGGTCATACGGGCGCCTTAATTTAATTTTATGTTTATCAGATTATCTTAAATTGATAAGATTGTGTGGTACATTTTTTCGCTATCGTTAATATTTCGGCTGGATTGCACCTGGACAATATTTTTCATACAAATACAATCCGCGACGAAATTATTTTTACAATAATAGTATCTTGTATCTTTTGGCAAAAAAAGATACATGATACTAGTATAAAATGTATCAAGATACATGATACTTGATACTGTAAAATTATGTATCATGATACAAGATACAAGATACAATTGTATCTTTGATACGTATCTTTGATACATGTATCTTTGATACTGCCCAACCCTGAATATAATATAATATAATGTGTTTTTAATTTGTATTCTCTATTGTTAAA